ACTTAACATGTTAAATCTTTATTCTAGACTTTTTTCCCTTTTTTCTAATTTGGTATTTAGCTCTGTCCCCCAGGCTGGAGTGCAGTGACACGATCATAGGGCAGCCTTGACCAGCTGGGCTCAGGTGATCCTTCCACTTCAGCCTCCCAAGTAGCTGGGACTACAGGCATGTCCCACCACATGGGGCTAATTTGTTCTAGGCTTTTGAACATATATAATTTTGTTCATTATAATACATTACTATACAAACATTATAGTAACTTTTTCATGTCCTCATCTACTACTTCTCTCATCTGTGTCTTTTCTGGGTTGGTTTCCATTGATTTTTCTCATTCAGGTTATAGTTACCCCCTTCTTTATCTGCATGGTAATTTTTTATTGATTATCAGGTGTGAATTTTATCTTCTTGGGTGCTGGATATTATTTCTTGGGTGCTTGGGAGTATTCCTGTAAATACTCTTGAGTTGTGTTATGGTATAAGTTACAGAGTTTTTAGTCTTGCTTTCAAGCTTTATTAGGTAGAAAGGGAGACAAGGCTCCTCTATTTCTTTGAGTCACTACTGAAACAAAACTCTACTATGTACTTGTATAAGCTTTCTATGACTGCCGTAACAAAGTACAACAAACTAGGCAGCTAAAACAACAGAAATCGATTTCCTCACAGTTCAGAGCCTAGAAGTTCAGAATCAAAGCGTCAGCTGGGCCCTGATGCCTCTGATATCTGTAGAGGACTCCTTCCTTACTTCTTAGTTTCTGGGGTTTCTGGCAATCTTGGGCATTCCGTGGCCTATAGATGCATGACTTCAGTTCTTTGTCTTCACATGGCATTCTCCCTGTGTTTCTTCCTGTCATCTTAACTCTATGTGTCTTTCTCTGTGTCTCCTTTTTTATGAGGACATACATATATTGGAGTAGGGCCTATCCTAATTACATCATTTAACTTGATTGCCACTGTAAAGACTCTATTCCAAGTAAGGTCACATTCTGAGGTACAAGGGGTTTGGACTTTAATATGTTTTTGGAGGGACACAATTTAACCCCAAACAGTACTGTACCCAGATCTCAGAAATGACAGTTTTCCATTTTGGCTTCTCAGAACAGGAGAAACTGCCTACCCCATGTCGGGTCCTGGAATTGTTCTCTCTAATCCTTTTGGGTGATTCCTTCCCCATCGTTGGGTAATTGCCACACGTGCATGTGTGATTGGGCAGTTCTTCTCCCAGCTTTATATAGTTGCCTTCACTACATGTGCTGATCAGTTCTCAGATGAAGATTCAGTGAGACCATTGAGGGTTTCTAGAGTTGCCTCCAGGCAACCCTCTACTCGCCAGTACTATCTTGCAGGCTCCAGCAGGAAGGTAGATCTAGTCCCTGTTGCTCCATGTTGCCTAGAAGCACGGGTCTGCCTTTCTAGCCTGTGTCTGTGTTGCTGACCACTATGAGAAAAAAAATGGTATGTCTGGTACCAGCATTAATCCATGAACTTCAAAATCAACTAGGCTCGGAATGGCGTCTGCTAATAATTGTGTGTTTTCTTGTCTGTTCAGTCTCTCTCTCCTAGTCTCCAAAGTATCTATTTAATATCTTCTCCCTCTTCTCAAACCTCATTTCACCCGTGTTGTCACTCCTAGCACATGACCTTGCCTCCTAACTCCTCAGAAATAGAAACCATCAGATGGGAACTTGCTCTGCTTCTGGTGACCCAGCCTCCCAATATGCCTTCTTTGACATACGTTCTTTCCACTTTCCTTTCTATAATCCTAGAGAAAGGGTGGACAAACTCTAATTCCTTTATTTGTTCTCAGAAGTCTTTCTTCTTTGGGGACATTGATCAGCTGCTTATATTCCCTCTCTCCTGGTCCTTAAAAGCCTTTTTCCTCTCTTCTTCGCATGAGCACTCAAATGCTGAAGTATTTTCCATCTTTAAAGAAAAGTCCTTATGTTGATTCTGCTTCTCCCCTGCCTTCCCCTCTCCTGTGTAGTCATCAGCTTCTCTCAAAGCCGAGCTCTCAAACAGGCTTTATATAGTTCTTTCTCTATTTCTTTAACACCCAGTCACTTCCTAACCAAATGCAACCTGATTTCAGTGTCCTCAGTCCCCTGAAACTATGCTTGCCAAGGCTATTGACTTCTTTCTGGGGGGACATTTTTGGATCCTTATCTTTCTAGATCCTTGTTTCTGTGCCTAGTTACAAAACCCTGCTGCCCTAGAACACAAGGAGGAACTTATTAGTAGGGCTGGCTTGGGGCTCCAGAATAGAAGTTTTAAAAGTTCCTCAGGTCATTTTAATGTGCAGTCAATTTCAATTTGGAGAAACACCATGCTCCGTGTAGTGTTTAACACCATCCTTATCTACCCTAACTTGTTGGGTGTCACTTGATACCATAGACTTTTTTTTTTTTTTTTGAGTTGTAGTCTCAGGATGCTTTTCTAAGCCCTCTCTTATCACTGTGTGCCTCTCTGATCATCTCAGTCATTCCCTCGGTTCCAGTTATCTTTAAATCCTTCTTTGATCGGTGTCTCCAGTTACCTCTTTCCTGAGCCTCGGATTTTTATATTCAGCAGCCTTGAATATCCCATAGATACCCTAAGCTCTGTATGCAGAATGAAATTTGTACCTCTACCTCCTAAAACATAGTTTTCCTCTTTTGTTCTTTATTTTAAGTAATGTTACTAGTATCCACCTAGATGGTCAAGTTCCAAACCTAGGAAAGCAACATTCTTGTTCCTCTTTTTTCCTCATAATTGCAAATGCATTTTTGACTCAGAAGTCCTGCTTTGGAGGCCGGGCTCGGTGGCTCAGTTTGTAATCCCAGCACTTTGGGAGACCAAGGAGTAGATTGCCTGAGCCTGCAGGTTCGAGACCCGCCCAGGCACCTTGACGAGACCTCATTTCTACCAAAAAATAAATAAATAAATTAGCCAGGCGTGGTAGTGCGCACCTGTAGTTCCGGCTTCTTGGAAGGCTGAGACAGATTGCCGGAGCCCAGCAGGCCAACGAGGGTGTGGCTGTGAGCGTGCTACTGCACTCCAGTCTGGGCAACAGAATGAGACTCCAACTCAGAAAAAAAAAAAGTCCTGCTTTGGGCATTTATTCTGCAAACATACTTGCATACATACTAAGTGATGGTGTGTAAGGGTATTCATTATAACGTGTTTTGGAAACACAAAAGACTAGAAACAACCCAAGTGTCCATCTGCAGGGGATTTAACTGGTAACACTGTGGGGGTCATCTGTACATTGGGGTACTATGATGTGGTTGTAAAAATGACTGAGGAAGCTGTCTGCATACTGCAAGGAACACAAGGAGATGATGTTGAACAAAAAGCAAGAAACAGAACAACATACAGGTTGAGCATATGTTATCCAAAAAGCTTGGGAGCAAAAGTGTTTCAGATTTCAGACTTGGATGTGTGTGTGTGTGTGTGTGTGTGTGTGTGTGTGTGTGTGTGTGTGTGTGTGTGTAAACTCCAGCATTTGAAATGCTCCAGTGAGCATTCCTTTGAGCATGATGTTGGTGCTCAGAAAGTCTTGGATTTTAGAACATTTCAGATTTCCAGAGGTACTCCACTTGTCTATGCTGTCTTCTTGTAGTATAAGAGGATAATAATGTGATACATACTTTTGCATAAGTAGACACTAGAAGGATGCATAAGAAACTAATGAACCGTGTTTGTATTAAAATTTTAAGAATCAGTTGGGAAGCTTCCTATAACAAAGTTCAAACTAAGCTTTCAGACTAAGTGTTCAGCTAAGCTGGAGCATGTTCTGAATCAATTTTGTATGCATCAAGGTCTTTGGCATCAGAAGTAACTCGCGTTTTCCCTTGTGATCACATTCCAGCCTTTAACAACCAGTCTTCTTTTCTGCTTCCTCTGCCATCGGTGATTTCTCTTAGTTCAGAACCACTTGTATTGTGTATGGAATTGACTTCCCTCACTACCTGTTGTGGTGATACATCCGATGTTTCTGTTCTTGGCTTTTTATTTCCTTTGTTTGGCTTTGGGAATGACTTTTTTCTTTATATAATAGTGTAGCATTAGAGATTGTCCAGCCATCCAGTATGTCTAAGACACGTCTCCAGTATTAAAGAAGAAATATATTTGGACCATTGGTCCTCTTTCTTTTTTCAATTAGATTTTAAATTTTCATTAACATTTTAAAATTAAATTTTATTAAATTGAAAACAGATTTGGGGATATAAGTGCAGTTGGGTTACATGGATATATTGAGTAGTAGAGAAATCTGGACTTTCAGTGCCACTGTCACCCAAATAGTGTCCATGGTACCCAAGACATAGTACTCTTTCACTATTGATTAAAAGTCTAGAAACTCAAAATTTGTATAATTCATAATTAATGTAAATGTGCCTTCCTTCTGTTTATACAGAGGAACTTTTTTATGGGGCAGCAGAACTAATAAGGGTATATGTATCAAGAATATCTTTATGATCAACAACCCGAATATGTATGGTATGTGGAAATTATGTGTGTGCATTTTTAACATGCTTTCAGAACAAAAAGTTACCAAGGAAGCTTAAAAGAATACAAAATATGGCTAGGTGCAGTGGCTCATGCCTGTAATCTCAGCAGTTTGGGAGGTGGAGGTGAGAAGATTGCCTGAGCTCAGAGTTTCAAGATCAGCCTGGGCAACTTGGCAAGACCAAGTCTCTACAATAAAAGTAAAAAAATTAGCCCGGCATGGTGGTGCTCACCTGTAGTTCCAGCTACTTGGAAGACTGAGGCTGAAGGATCTCCTGGGCCTAGCAGGTCGAGGATGCAGTCTGCATTCCAGCTGGATGACAGAGTGAGACTCTGATTTAAAAAAAAATTGCTAATGGTTTATTATAATGCTTTCTTTTTACATAGTTGCTTTTATTATTTTCAGAATATTTAAAGCTGGCTATAATAATAGTTAAATTTTTTTTGATAACCGTAGCTCTTTATTTCACTCTGAAGTCTGGTTGTCAACTATCTCTGATTTGTTTGTTTTCTAAAGGTGTTCTTAAGGATTATTTAAGAGAACTTCCTTCCCCTCTGATAACAAAGCAGCTTTATGAGGCTGTATTAGATGCAATGGCAAGAAGTCCTTTGAAAATGTCATCAAGTGGTTGTGAGAATGACTCCGGTGACTCTAAGTACACTGTTGACCTGCTGGATTGTCTGCCTGAGATTGAGAAGGTAAGCACAGTTTATAGATATTTTTCCTGAAAGCCAGCTGATGAATTTTATACTCGGCTCCAGAGCTAAAAAAATTTTTTTTAGGTATTTCACATTTATAGCATTTGTTGGGTTCAAGTTCTGCCTTTACTGCGTTTCTTTCTTTTTAGAATTTTTAAATTTTATGTGCAAGGAGGTAGCATGCTTTCATTGGGTGCATGCCTTGGATAATCCATTCAAGGAAGATCACTCAGCCCAACTTAATGAAACCGAGATCCTTCGTGTACTGACGGAAACCCTGGCGGCACATATTGAGGCCATATTTCCCAATCAGACCGTGACAGTTTGAGCAGGCGCGACACGAGGGAGAATTTCCACAGTGGCTCCAGTAGAGCTGCTAGTGGCCCATCTTGCTCTCAGGTGTGCATTGAGGCAAAAGCTTTTACTGCGTTTCAGCAGCATCAATCTAGAAATGTCTTTAAACCAGTAAATTTAGAAAATGGTTTTATTTTTTCTGTATATCATTTTAGCCCAGGCACGAATAAATGTTTCCTATACATTTTAAAATTATATATTGTTATATTACTATAATAATGTATGTTTATTGTAGAAAAATTGGGAATATATAAAGAAGAAGAATGCAAAATTACAATTAATATCCAAAGACAACTATAATGAACTTTTTGGCCTGTTTCCTTTTAGTCTGTTTTTAGGTCTGGTAACTGTTTTGTTGTACATGACTCAGCCTTAAGACAAGCAACACCAGCTTCCCTCATTTTTCCTTCTTGCCTCTTCCCATTTGTTCCCTCCCCCAAAACTAAATCTCGAGACCATCATCCTTGGGTGTGCCTGTCGGAGACAGACAGAAGCATGGCTAGGTCTATAGAACCAGCCTAGCCTAACTTGAACAGTTGTTCCTTATAACAGGAAAATAAGAGAGGTAGGGCTGGGCTTGTCTCTATGAGGCTGAATTTTCCTTTGTTTCTTATCATGTGGGGACAGAAAGTACACGAATGAGCAGGTAGAAGCTTTAAGCCAGTATTAGACCACTAGTTCACTGTGGTCTCCTGTACTCTGTCCAGTTGGACAAGCAGTGACTCTCCTTTATGTGGGGAGAAGGGAACAGCTAGAGAATGCAGGAGCAGAGGGTGGGGTGAAGCAGAAGGGATGAGTTCCTTCCCCATCAAGGTAAAACTGCCAGTGCCACTTTACTTATAGGTGGAAGGAATGAGTGTTAGGGAATTTAAATTTATATAGCTTTTGGGTTATAGTCTATCATATGAATTTTGGTCTGGCCCGTGCTGTTAATATTCTTTCTAACAGGGCTGCATAATATACCATTGAGTGAATTTCACATTATTTTTCACTGTTCTTTTTTGTATAATACCAGATTTCGAACTATTTGTGTATATTTGTACACAGAGATTTCTTTTGCATTAGAACTACTTATTTAGAATTTCAGAACTGGAATTGTTCCTTTAAATAATGTAAACATTTTAAGGCTCTTCCTACATGTTTTCATACTAATTTTTGCAAAGGACGTGACAATTAGCATTTTTAGGCTCATCTTACTTAGTAGGCAAATCATTTTAAGTTGCCTTTCTTTGTTTGCTATTGAGGTTGAACGTATGTTTAGCAGGTGTGACACTGTATGTATGTGAGTGCTGCTTACAAGTATGACCTGATAATAACCGTAAGAGCCCAGTGTATATGGAGTTCTACCTGTGTTAGGAAATAATTATGAATAAAAAGAGGAACAAATGGGATTCACGTCTTTAACTCGTTTTGATGTAAGACATCAGTTGTCGTTTCCTCTAGCTTTCATTCTCTCTTGGCTCCTTCTCTGTGTTGCCAAACATTGAAAGAATGTCTGGCTGTTCCCGCTCTTCCCGTTCACTCGCTCCTCCGCACACTGGGATCTGGCCTCTGTCTCACTGCTCTGGGCTTGATCTTGCCAGGATTACTAACAGCCTTCTCGTCATCAAGTCCATTTGTCACTCATGGTTCCAGACATAGACGTCTCATTTTTCTTTATTTATGAGATCTTAAAATTGGTTTTTAATTGGCATTTATTTCTTCAATATGCTTTATGAAGAAGAGATTACTTATTTTGTTAAATGACTGATCATATATCATGTCTTCAAAATAAATCATTTTTTTTCCATGATTGCTTAAACCTAAACAACCATTGTACTTCTTGAACTAACTCCCCTTACTAGTTTCTTTAGGAATGTGGATATATATATATATTTTGTTTGTTTGTGTTTTTGTTTTGTTTATGTTTTTTAGTTGAGGTCTCGCTCTATCACCGAGGCTGGAGTATAGTGGCACAGTAACAACTTACTGCAGCCTCAACCTCCTGGGCTCAGGTGATCCTTCTACTTCAGCCTCTTGAGTAGCTGGGACAACAGGCTCACACTACTACACATGGCTCATTTTTGATTTTGTTTTGTAGAGACGAGGTCTTGCTGTGTTGCCTAGGCTGTTCTTGAACTCCTGGGCTCAGGCAGTCCTCCTGCCTCAGCCTCCCAAATTGCTGAGATTATAGACGTGAGCCACCACTATATTTTCTTCAATACTTTTTCATTTTATTTCTAACTGTACTATTCTTTCCTTTCCTAAGGTTTGTCTACTTAAAGTATTTATGAGTTAAGAAATACATTGTCCTTTTGAAAATATCTTTCATAGTCTAGTTCGTGATAGAACCTGACTGTGTTTTGGAATCATTTACTTCCTAGATTTAAGTATGACAGCCCCTACTTACAACTATAGGACTTATCTTCACTTAAAAATGAGAACTTTTACCTTAATTGCTTTTCCATCACAGCCTTTGCTGTTGTCATTTTAAAAGAGAGAAGTGGCCGGGCACAGTGTAATTATACCTGTAATGCTAGCATTTGGAGAGGCTAAGGTGAGAGGATTGCCTGAGTCCAGGAGTTTGAGACCAGCTTGAGCAACATGGCGAGACCTCATCTCCACAGTAAATCAAAAAAATTAGCTGGGTGTGGGGGCGCGTGCTGTAGTCCCAGCTACTTGGAAGACTGAGACTGAGACAGAAGGATTGCCAGAGCCAGCAGGTCGAGGCTGCGGTAGCTGCGATCATGCCACTGCACTCCAGTCTTGGTGACAGAGCAAGACTCTGACTCAAAAAAAAAAAAAAGAAAGAAAGAAAAAAAGTTAAAAGAGAGAAGAGAAGAAAGAGTTGATGATGTGTTTTCCTAGGGACTGCAGTGAAATTTGGAATGTACTCATAAGCGTTTTATAAAAAGTGTGTGTTTTAACCATTTAGTGGATTGAATTATGATGTTGGATCATAATTTAGGCTCCATGTAATAATTTTATAAGAAAATATGTTTCAGTTTCCAAAATCCAACTTACAAGCAAACCTTTGAGAAAAGTGACAGGATGCTTATCTGTGTTTTCTGCTACAAATTGTGTCCTTGAATTTGTCCCTGTATGACTATATTAAGTCAAATTTAATTTAATTTAGGCAACCCTAAAGATGTTATTGGATCATTTGAAATTGGTGGCTTCTTATCATGAAGTGAATAAGATGACCTGCCAGAACTTGGCTGTGTGCTTTGGACCAGTATTATTAAGTCAGAAGCAAGAGACTTCCAGCCATAACAACAGAGTCTTTACTGATTCAGAAGAACTTGCAAGTGCTTTGGATTTTAAAAAACATATTGAAGTTCTTCATTACTTACTCCAACTCTGGCCAGGTAAATGATTCCATGGAAATATCTTTCTCTTTCATTGATAGGATATTTGAGTCAGCTAATCATCAAGCATTTCTGTATATGCCTGAAGGAAATCTTTTCCAGATTTTGCTTTTTCAAATAGTTATAAATTGATAGCTGCCCTTCAGGTTTGTTTTTTTTTTCCATTTAAATTCTCTGCCTTTCCTGATAACATTGTAGACATACAGATCAATGGACACATTTTAGATTTGGTCAGATAGGGATCTGAATTTTGGTTGTGCCACTTATTAGCAGTCTGGCCTTGGGCAAACACATTACCATCTTAGAGCCTCAGTATCATCTTTTGTTGTGTGAGTTTAATAATCTGTTTATAGATTTTATATGCAGATTAAATGAAACATTGTATATGTAAGGTGCTCGGCACATCTCTTGACACATAATAGATAATAAATACTAATTCCTTTACTCTTCCTTGTTTTAGTTCAACTGGCATGAAGCAGAATTCGTCTTGCTCCTTAAATCAGTTCTTCTTCCTGACGTCTTTACTGTATTCATAGTCTTTCTTCAATTATACCAGTTTGAACTATCAGTTGCCTTTGATCTTTTCATCTTTCTTATCCATTCCTTATTCCAGTCAGTAACCCAAGAGTACAGTTGTTTTCCTAGCATATCTCTTATATAGTCCCAGAGCTAAAAGAAATATGTATTTAATTAGATGTTCTATAAAAGATTTAAGTTCTAGAATTTTCTTATCTGGAGGTAACCCCTGCTATTCTTGTCCACACTGCTTAGGATGAAGCGTGAAGGTACTTCTGTGCTTACTAGAACACAGTGCTGGTAAAAGCGGTAGGCCCTGGAGTCAGGCTTGGGTTCAGATCCGCACTGTGACACTTGCCAACTCAGGCACACACTTGAACTTCTCAAGCCTCAATTTGCTTCTCTCTAAATAATGCTTACCTCAGTGTTGTTGTGAAGGTTGAGATTATGCATCTAAGGTCATAAGCAAAGTGTTTAGCGTAAAGTGAACCCTTAGCAAATATTTCCTGTTACTTTTTTATTGGCATATATGAGAAGGAAAGACCAGAGTACAAAGGAATTCTTGATTTAGTCTTTTAAAAGAAGTCTAGTTAATTTTCAAAAATGAATTAAAAATAAGTTAATAAAATTTGTCAGTTCTTAAATTTCAAAGCTTAAGCTTTTACTTTCTTTTAAATACAGGCTTAAACATTCTAGATTATATTTTAACTGAATTAGAATGAATTTTAATTGTGTAAAAATCTAGGATTCAGATTCTCTGGGTAATTGGTAACTGGTTACAGTTTTTGATGCCCAGCTTAAGGAATCTCTCAGAGTAGTTGTTTTTTATTTGGAGTTGGAGTCTCACTCTGTCATCCGGGCTGGAGTACAGTGGCACGATTACACTCATCACAGCCTCGACCTCCTGGGCTCAGGCAATCCTTCCCCCTTGATCTCTTGAGTAGCTGAGGCTACAGAAATGCACCAGCAAGCCCGCTGATTTTATTTTTTTGTCGAGACGAGGTCTTGCTATGTTGCCAAGCTGATCTCGAACTCCTGGTTCCAACATCCTCCTGCCTTTGTCTCCCAAAGTGCTTGGGTTTACAGGCGTGAGCTGCCGTGCCTGATCTTCTCAGAGTTTTAAATGTGTACTTCCTTTTTGTAGAACAACTTTAATTCTAATAAAATCAGGAATTTGGTAGAAAGCCATCTATCATTACAGTCACAAATGAAATTTGCTTCCCTGGAGATTCCATTAAGTTTACTATCAGCACCTGAGTTCTTTGTCATTAATTTTGTTTCAGAGGTTAATATCGTTTTGTTATTTTGTAATAGCCACCTTTGTTTGGTTTGGGAGCAGAAAATTTATATCCCATGTTGGAAAAGCAGGTTCACATTTCGTATTTCCTATATTCTAATGACAGACTTAAACAACTGTCTCCCAGTGTACAGCACCTTTTCCTAAAGACTTGGTGTTGTTGGCTTTAAAAACAACTGCTACTTTTTCTAAAACCTGTCATTTTTCTTTAGTTGTAGTAACTCAAAGGACAGAACAGGGCAGAAGGATGAGAGGAGACATTCCCTCTAAATTCCTTGGTATTGGATTCAAGAAAAGTCAGAAACTAAGTAGATGAAGTGTAGTCACTTGGCCCGAGAAAAGCTTTCATTCAAAAATGGATGTGCCATTTCAGGAATACGGAAAGTTATTGATAGGCTACCTTGTTACTTTACAAAAAAGGAAATAGATTTAGAGTTATTTTAAAAACCTAGCAGTTATTTTTTAAATGAATAGCACAAATCTTTGCAATACCACATTTTTTATGGTGAGTAGATTTGGGACACGATTTTTGGAAATGGCACCCATTTTTCTCTCATTCTTTTTATTTAATTTTTCTCACTAGATTGTAAATGTTGAGAGGTCAGGGATTATGCTTAACTTTATATACCCAGGTCCTAGCAGAGTGCTCACATATTTCTCTTAAGGTAATTATACTGTGTATAAAAGGCTAATAAAGCAGTGATTAAAAACAAATCTAAGCTGGGCTCGGTGGCTCAGCCTGTATTCCTGCGCTTTGGGAGGCTGAGGCGAGTGGATTGCCTGAGCCCGCGGGTTTGAGACTCGCCTGGGCAACTTGGCGAGACCTCATCTCTACAATAAATCAAAAAATTAGCTGGGCGTGGTAGCGCGTGCCTGTAGTTTCAGCTACTTGGAAGGTTGAGGCAGAAGGATCGCTGGAGCCTGAGCCCAGCAGGTCGAGGCTGCGGTAGCCGGGGGCGGCCACTGCACTCCAGTCTGGGTGACGGAGTGAGACTCCAACTCAAAAAAATAAAATAAAATAAAAATAAAAACTTAACAGAAATATTAAAAACATACCTGTATGCTATTAGCAAGTATTTCAGTAAAGTACAAGTTTTAGAAATTGTGTAAACTCTGAAAATTTATCAATATCACCATATGTCTAGGAAGCTAGAACCATATACTTTTCTGTATAGTTTTTCAGTTGTCTTATTTTGTACAGCAAACAAGCATTCATTCTATGTCAGAGAGTATGAAGTTGGTGTATTGTCACTGATTTGTATTCCCTTTATTTTAGTGAAGGGAAGTAAAAACAGAGAGGCACTTATTAGCGTAGAATAAGCAAGCAGATAAAGGTATTATGGGTAATCTTTAATAATCATGCCTTCACATTTTAAATTAAGTTCATTTTATATGCAGAAGAGCCTTGGATAAGTATGTTGTTCAATATACACAAGAGAATGAGCAGTAAAACCTTGGTTTATGATGAAGTAACGTGTGCCTCTCTGGTTATCTTCTGTGTGGCCAGCACAAGCATACTCTCAGAAGAAATGAGTCTTAATATGGGGAATGTTATTTGGGATTGTTAAATACCGAGCCAGAATGGGAAAATAAAATATGTGTACTATTTCCAGGCAATAAATGAAGACTATTAGTAGATAATGGAGTATAATCAAACTCAGGTAACAAGTGGTCAAGTCTAGTATTCGTGCATTTTATCAAAGTGAAATTCAGTCTGCTTAGTAAAGTAATTAATGACACTGCTGCTAATAGAATTGCACAAACGCCCACAAGTGTCAGAACTTCTAGTGATCAATCTAGATGCCTTTGCCTCATTTAGACGTTTGCAGACAAAGGAATTTCTTGTTATGTTTTGTTTGTACACCAACATGCCTTGCCTGCTTTTTGCTGTAGCTTTTAGTTTAGGAGAAGCCACCAGCTTAGCTACTGTTTGAATTACAGCTGAATAATGATTAACTTGCACAGAAAGTTGATCAATCTTGGGGATTTGAATTGTTTGGGGACATTATGATACAGCATGAATTAGCACTACGGAACCTTCCACTAGCTTCTATTTTCTAATCTTGATTGTGTCTGGTGATAGAAAAAATAATTATGGAATGCTTTCTTTTGATAGTGTGCATGTTTTTGTTTTAATGCATGTTTTTAGTTGATTATTAAATGGCTTATCTTTAGCCCTATTTTTTTAAGGCCAGTTGAAATATTGTCACTAAAGCAGAATTATTGTTCATTTCTAGTGCAACGTTTAACTCTCAAAGAATCAACAGACGATTTGTTTCCAGAGCAGAAGTCCTCTCTGAATTACTTGAGGCGGAAGAAGGAACGGCCTTGCATGTTAAATTTGAGTGGTACTGATTCATCAGTACTGAGGCCAAGGCAAACCAGACTCGACAGTCCACTTAGTAATCGTTACGCAGGAGACTGGAGCAGCTGTGGAGAAAACTACATTTTAAATACAAAAGAAAATTTAAATGATGTGGATTATGATGACGTCCCTTCAGAAGACAGAGAAAATGGAGAAAATTATGGCAAAGTAGATGGATCAGAAGTAATAATTGAACAGCCAATTCCTCTCTCTAAAGAGTGCACATTTCAGACATATTTGACAATGCAGACAATTGAGTCTACAGTGGATCGAAAAGTCAATCTCAGAGATCTACAAGAAAGTATTGATACTCTGATTGGAAATCTGGAGCGTGAGCTCAACAAAAACAAGCTTAATATGAGTATTTGAGATTTAGGACCTTTATTTGGTTTTTCATAATGTCTTAAAGTTTCAAATCCGTCTTCCTTTCTAAATTTTTTTTTTTTTAAATTGGGGTTTCACTCTGTCACCCAGGCCGGAGTTCAGTGGCATGATCATGGCTCACTGTGGCCTCAAACTCCTGGGCTCAAGCCATCCTGCTGCCTCAGCCTCCTGAGTGGTTGGGATTCAAGGCATGCAACACCACGCCTGATTTTTTATTTTTATTTTTTTAGAAAGCAGGATTTATTGAGAGGACAGAAAAACTGCCACAATAAGAGGGGACCCGAGAGTTTTGCCCTCGCCTAATTTTTAAAAAATTTCTCTTGTAGCAACGAGGTCTCACTATGTTGCCCAGGCTGGTCTCAAACTCCTAGCCTCAAGTAGTGATGCTCCCGCCTCAGCTTCTCCAAGTTCTGGAATGACAGGAGTGAGCAGCCATGCCTGAGTCTTAACTTTCTCTTCTTTTACCTCCCACTGTGATGTTTTACTTTTTTTACTCTTGAAATCTTTAATTAATTTCTAATAAGTTTATGCGATTCAATTAAAAATGCTATTCATTAACATAAGTTTTATACTTATTAGAAAACTTTTCCGGAGATAAAGATAACTTGGACTTCTTGGGATATTTTAATACGTCTTGCCAACTCTGTGGAAATCACTTTCAAGCGCACTTAGAAGGTTCAGATAAGTTATTTGCCCCTCCAGGTTTTTGTATTTCAGAGAACCTGCTCATCTGTCACTGAGGCTACTCCGTCTGATTCGCAGTATGGGTCCCGGTACACTGCAACACCGTTTGGTCACATTTCATTTGCAATGCAAATGCTGCTATAAGAAAATCTTTTAAAAGAAAAAAGTAAAATTACACAGATATTAATGTATTCTGTATTAACATTTAGTAATTATTTAAACTTATAAAAAATTAAATATTTTTATAATCCCGAAAGTATGTGTATATTTATAAATGCATATATGTATAGGTATCAGAATGGGGGGAGGGATTGTCTGTAGAATCACATGTATGTTCAAAGTATGTATGTCATGAGGCCAAAATCACTAGCTTAAAGTGTCTTTTTCAGGGAAAAGACATTTAAGTTAAGGAGGAGTTACATAAAAACACTTGAACAAAAATACTCTAGAAGCATCAAAGTAGAAAGAATAACCTTTCTTTTTTTGATTTTCAGAAACTCATAATATTCCCTGTGAAAAACTGTCTTTTAAATTTGAAATTCTCTAACTCCTTAAAGGATTAAGTGCCCAGATTTCTGCACTGGTAACTTTGATTAAAAAAAAACAAAAAAAAAACCACTTCACCTATTCTGTGCATTTTTGTATTCCCCTTTAAGTATTTATTTGTAGCAGTACCTTCATAACGTTGACTTTATAGTGACCCCATTTGTTTCTAAAGAAGTCATCTTGCCAGCCATGCTACATGTTACTGATTTTTAAAAATTAACTTATTTTGGCTAAGTATTTCTACAAGGTAGTCATTATGGCAGTCACAGCAGTGTTTGAAAATGTAAGTTTAGAAGGCTTTTTTATTAAATCAAAATGTATTTTTTTAAACTTTTATATCTACAGAATATGTAATTTTAAAATTATAGGTAAAATTTAAATGACCAACTTTTAAGGTATAGCAGCCATTAAAAAACTGACTTCCTGATTTTCTAAGTATTATTTAACTATTTTTATGCAATATACATTGGTAAAAAGAATACTTTATTTAATTTGAAAGCCCATAATTAAAAAAGATAACTATTTTTATATGAGATTTTCATTTTTTAAAGCTTTGTGTAACAATTCAGAAGAATACCAAAAGAATACATTTGTATTAAGTAAAAAGTAAAAAGAAAGTACTTTTAAATGTCTTGTAGGAAGATTGTCTCCATTTTCTTCTTTTTGTTTGCTATATCATATATATTGTATGAATTAAATTGTTCCAGAAATGTAACCTTAGTGTCTGGATTAATTATCATAATGATTTGAAGGATCACTTATTTTAATATTCTTTTTAAGCAAAGGTGTTGGAGTATTGGACCATCATGTGTTATCAATAAATATATGTAATAACACTTATTTGTCCAAAATTGAGTTTTTGTCCACAATTTGTTCAAAATTGAATCTGAACTACTTTAAGGGCCATACTTCTATTACTATATTATTATATTATTTTGGATGGGAATAGTTTTAGTTAGTCTCTGCCATGTTAGGGAATTCTAATCATTTTTGTCGCCTAATCACTATAAACCCCTTTTATTGTCTCTGCTGCACCAGAAGTGCTGAGTAAGTTTAAATGCCTTTAAATGGCCTTTTACTTCCAATCTTTTTTGAGAGTTTTTATACCTGCCTTTTATAATTTCCTGGAATCTTTTTGTGTGGTCAACTATTACACCTTTCTGAACCTGCCAGCTCAAATGTTTTTTAGGATTAAAAACAATTTTAATTTTAGAGCATGTGCCTGAATAAAAATTTCCAACCACTTAGCTGGACAGAAAATAAAAAGTTAAAGTGTTTCTTCCTGCCATCCACTGCATTTCACTTCTCAGAGGTAACAGCATGTTTATTCATGCCGTTTCTTGATTTATCAGTGAAGCAGAATCTGTTGACTGTCTGTTCTGAATCATCAGTTTATCTTCATTCCTTCCCGTCATTTTGGGGGGTTATATTTTTCTTCATTCGATTTCTTTTATAACATTAACGAGTAATCTTTTTTTTTAATCTAGTGATTTTGAACAGACTCTTTTGACCCCCTGCTATTCAGGAAATGACAAGCTCTCTACTTCCCTTCTAATTCATTCCTTCCCTTTACCTCCTCACTTGTGTAAGTCATACTGTTCACTTATATAACCAACATTAACGCGTATTATTTTGGAGACCTGTATATCTTTCCTTTGGACTTACATTCTAAAGACTGCAAATCAATAATGGGCGGTCACACTAGATGATGCAAAAGTATACACAAGGAAACCAGGTAATTTATTTCCTGTTGCTTATCTAATCTTGCATCCTTACGTCTGTGTTGACCCAGGCAGACTGTTCCTAGCATGAAGATCAAATGGGTTCTTTGACCTTGCAGCCACCAACTTCCCCAAGTTGTGCCGTATGTCATTTGCTTTATAACTGGGTCATGGCTTTTGCAGATTTTTATTTTATCTGGAGTATACAGTTGCTTTTATTTCTTGACAGAAGAAAAATGCTTTCCTTACCATAACTTTTAGAGTGCTTTTAGCTCTCATCCTGGGATTCCTGAAATTTATTCTTGTCTTTATTTCTTTTTCTTTGACAGAAGAAAAATATCTTCTTCGCCTTAACCTAGAGATCATTTTATGCTTCTTAATCGACATCATCAAATTTGGACAGTGTGATTTTTAGCTAGTGCTCTGGGATGTATTTTCTTTGTACTTCTATGTTCTTTTTTCTGAATATGCTTTTTTTGTTTGTTTGCTGGAGTATGTTTTCAAGTGCCTCTTTCCCCCAGAAAAGGTGCATGGGAGACACTCTGAGTCTTTGCATGTCTGGCAGGGTCTTTATTTTTTACTCACATTTTTCCTATTTTTTTGTCCTTCATTTTTATTGGACCTGCAGTTCTAGGTTTAAACTGATCTTCCTTTAGGACTTTGAGGGCATTTCACTAATATTTTCAAGCATCTAGTTTTGCAGTAATACGGGCTAGAAAGATGGTAATTCAAACCAGAATAGAAGCAATACAAAAGTGAGAAGTGGTTGTATATATCTTAATGTAGGAGCTAAGAGAATCTACCAGTGAACTGTGAAAGAAATAGGGCCTGAGCAGCTGAAGGCTGGAGTTGCCATCAAATGAGGTTGAAATGGCTGTTTTGCGTTCCTTGTATTGGATGTTGGCATTATTAATATAGTAGTTCTTAAAATGCCTTATAATGTCCTACTAACTGTTAGAACTCATGCTTCTGTACCTGGTAGTGATGTTTATAGAGCCATGACTAGAGTAAGAAAGCAAGACAGCTTCATATATATCCAAGTAAAGTCATACGTAATAGCTGTCAGGAAAATTTCAGATTGTGTAGCATTACATGTTTGGGACCCTGAAGAAACAGTTGGGCACTGGTACAGTTCCTGAAAGGAATTTAATTTCCAGACTTAGGATTTTGTAAACTAAAAATATCAATGTTTGGGTCCTTGGGTATGATAAAGTTGTTTTATATTTAATAAGAACAGGTCCTAATTTGAGTTTTACTGACCTGAAGACTTTAGTGCAAAGAGAAATGCTCTTTTTTCTGACAGTTTTCATTTTGAATTTGGTAAGGCCCATATTTGATAAATGCTGAAGTATTGCATGTCAGAGTTCTTGCGGTCTGTCTCACCGAAAAACTGACTGGCTAACCCGGCAGAAATTGAATGTATTGAAGAGATAATGGATCAGAGGGAGGGCTGTTTTAGGGTGCTGAAAATCACATATTGATCTAGGTGGGGGTTTCACCACTAGACTTTTTTTTAAGACCCTGGGCCATTTTTCTTCAAGTCTAGTCTTGGGAAGACTCTCCCTCGCCAACCTCATGACAAGGAAGCAAGAACTTCAGTGTGAGGATCACAGAGCCCATCCAAATGACATGAATTTTTTGGTAGTCACCACCAAATAATTCAAAGTGACTGGAGGATAAAGGGCAAATACAGATTTATATTAAATTAAGAAACATACTGAGTTTGTGGTCACTGGATGAGCATGGAAGTTCATCAGTAGATAATGTGATGCCTTTTCCTTAAACCCGAACTTCATCCAACGAAAGTCCACGTCTCTACCCCGACACCTCTATGTAGTCAAAGATCTAGTTCAGAGATCATTTGCCATTTTTGAGAAAGTGGCTTTATTGTTAAAATAACAATGAGTACCCACTGCACTAGAATGCTTTTTAGTCAAATATTCATCTCCCTGCATTCTCTCTTACTGATGAAATGATGATGGCAAAGAGGAGGGAGACAATCTGATTATCTCAAAGTAAGAAGAGGACACAAGTAGACAGACTCCCAGGACAGTTTCATAATTTCAGACCCTTGTTAGTCTGGTCATCACAACATAATCCACAT